TATTTAATATATTGTATTATTCCCTTACCTTATTTGTATAGGTTTCCTTACTTGTGTCTCTCCTACCTTGATTAGGATTGAGACTCCCCTTATATATATATACATGTAATCACAACTCTTTTGATCAATGAAAATCATAATTCTTCAATTATGCTTTTGAGAAAAATGACCAATCACGCAATTCAAAATTTTAAGTAGAATAAGACATTATTAAAAACTAGTATCACACTCGTGCGTTAGACGAGTCATATTTAAGGTACTAAATTATATTAACATCATTTTTGAATGTTACAAATTAGTATAAATGGAATATAGCGATTTCATTTTTTTAAGTTACAAAAGTTAAATGATTTACACTATTTGAAAGACTACTTTATAATTCACATTACTCGTATAAATTTAAGAAAATACTGTCTTCGTACGTTGCATATTAGAATCTTCAAGTAAGTACATATGATTTATAACTCTTTAAATTACAACATACATTTGTCCATGACTAAAATATAAATAACATTAATCAAAACTCCGGTTAAAAAATTTGTTCAGTGTTAATTGTGTTTTTTTTATCATTTTTTTAAATTACTAATAAAGTGGAGATCTATATACTCTATAAAAACAAAGGAGCATTTATAAAAAGAAACTGGATTTTTTTGCACTGATTCGTTACGAAAAGCAATACATGTAGTATCTATGTTTCATGTCATTTTTTGTTGGCATTTTACTCCTTTTTTATTAACAATGAAAACAGTATTTTTTTATTGAGTAAAATAAACAATTATCTTACTCTCGTTAGACCTTTAAATATTTGTGTAACCGAGATTCGTTCTAAACTATAAAAAACACTCGTTAGACAATTAAATGTTTGAGTCCAATTTTTTTAATGTTAGATTTCACCATTTGCATCACCGGAATTTGAGGCGGTGATGCCACTTTTTTGAGACCATCAATCACCAGATAAACATTAAAAAATAAAAATAAAAGATTTGTGATTCTCAAAGTAGAATTATTCATACATCATATTCATAATTTATGATTCAATTTAAATACATTATAAAGAGACTTTTATTCGGGTAATTATTTTTTTCATTTAACGATAAAAGTGAACTTTTATAGAAAACTTCCATTTTTGTTATTTTATTCATTTCTTTTCATATTATCAAAAATAGTTAGTGTTTTGGAAATTTTATTCCAAGTGTATCTCATTACCCGTGCAATAAAATAAAAAATACAAGTGTACGTTATTATTTTTACACTTAGATCAAAATGGTAATAATAAGTTTTAATTTTAAACTTGGAAAAAAATGGTAATAACTATTTTAAATAAAGTTTTAAATAAATGAAAATTTTAAACTTACAAAATGGTAATAAGTTTTATATAAATATGGACATTTTTTTAATGCTCATACAAAAACAGTAATTTTTTCATAAAAATAGAAACGTATTCTCCTTTACCATATAATTATTAATTAATAGAATCCAAAATTACCCTAGCAACACTTACCATTAACTTGCGTAGCATTTAAATAAAAACAGAAACACATTCACCTTTTCGAATTATTGTTTTCGGTGTTATAAAAAATAAAACATATTAATGTATTTAAATAAAAATAAAAACATTTTTAATGCTCATACAAAACATAATTTTTTAATTTAACATTTTTTTTATGTAATAATTCATTACATATTAATAATTTATTACATCTTTTAGTAAATATAACCTCCAATGATTCCTGCCCCCGAGAATGAGCAGGAACATGATAAATTCTTACCGCTCTTAGTTTCAACATCAATAATCCTGACCACCCATCAACATTTTTTAAAACAGTTATGATCCCCATGTTCGTACAAAAAGAAATATTGAAGCACCAAATTAAAACACACGTTGATTAATCTTACTACCTTGGCCTGGAAAAGTACCGTATTTATAGTATAAATAATTGTAATAGGCTATAAATCATTGATTTCATTTTTATTAAAAACTTACGCTTTGCAATTTTATAACTTACCTTTTTAAATTATTTCCAATTTTCAATACATTAATTATTATAAATATAATAATTATATTAAAGTCACGCTTATGATTTTATATTACTCACATTAATTATCATAAAAATAATAGCTATATTAAATTAACACTTACACAAAAAAGGGTTAAAATGACAATTACTTATTCATAGCATATAATACATTGATTCCATTTTATTAAAATCTTACACTTTGCAATTTTATAACTTACCTTTTTTAATTATTTCCAATTTTCACAATTATTAACTTACCTTTCTTTAATTATTATAAATATAATAATTATAATAATTATTACTATAATTCCGGGCATTTACCATTTTAATTCTACAATTGTCATTTGTAATTATATTACTCACGTTAATTATTATAAAAATATTATCTATATTAACTTCACACTTACACAAAAAAGGTTAGAAATGACAGTTACTTATTTTTAGCAGTTACTTATTTCCAATTTATATTACTCACGTTAATTATTATGACTTACCCTTTTTAATTATTTCCAATTATCGTTTTTGCGAAATTGGGTGTATAATTGTATAACTTACCTTTTTTAATTATTTTCATTTTTTTTGCGAAATTGGGTGTATAATTGTATAACTTACCTTTTGTAATTATTTACAGTTGGTTAACTTCACGATTACCATTTTATATTACTCATGTTAATTATTATAAAAATAATAGATATATAAACTTCACGCTTACATAAAAAAGTTTCGGACATTTGTAATTAAAAACTTAGCATATAATTCATTGATTCCATTTTTATTAAAAACTTACGCTTTGCCATTTTATAACTTACCTTTTTTAATTATTTCCAATTTTCAATACTCACGTTAATTATTATAAATATAATAATTATAACTTTACAATTTCGGCCACTTACCATTAAAAATTCACAATTATTAACTTACCATTTGGCCATTTTAACTTACCTTTCTTTAATTATTATCAATATAATAACTATAATAATTATTACTATAATTTCGGTCACTTACCATTTTAATTTCACAATTGACATTTGTAATTGTCATACTTTTTGGGCGGAAAAAACATATGTTGACTCCATATCTTTTTAAATTAAGTATAGATGATTTGAATAGTCATTGAAATAATAAGTAATTATTTAATACTTATTGTTAATGTCCACATTCGTAGAGTCATTCATATATCTAATGACCTCATTCGTATAGCCATTCATATAAGTAGTCGTTATCCAATACTTCTTACTAATGAGGGCATATATATGACAGATCATATAGAATTATGTGTCATAAAAGCAATAAAACACACTTAGTCATATTTAGAGAAATGCACTATCTTTTAGTCCTATACAGAACAAAATTTTCATTATTATGGTGTTAAGGTTTACATGTAAAACGGGGCAGATCTTCTCAAATATTGATCGAGGTCATAGCTGGATTATTTGCTTATTTTACAAGGGCAAATACATATAATTATCAAATGCCTTAAGATCTATAAAATAATTATGAATTTAAAAATCACAGGAAAATTTGTCATTCTTTTTACCTTTCAAAACATGGAGTTTAACAAGAAGGTAATTTTTTGTCCTATAAAAAATATGGATTTATTTCCATAATGTATAAAAGATAATTCATCTGTCCCACAAAAATATTCTATGAATTTTTCGTTTGTTTAAAAAAAAGTTACAATCTCCATTTACGAAAAACTTGTTGTGGTTTATAATATGTTGAATATTACAGCGGGAAAATAAAAATAAAATAATCCGAACTTATAAAACATTCGGATTTTACAAAAAAATAAAAGAAAATAAAACTAGAGTCTTCGGAAGCTCGAACACGAACAGACAGCAAGGCAGTGACTTCGGACGAAGGTTGTGAGTCGCCGGAGCAGTTTCTCGAAGTGAAGGTTAGGAAAGCGGAGTCGCCAAAGCTTTCCTTAAGGTAGTATTGCCCGCCTCCCACACTGGCCAAATGTGGGCAATTTCCTCTCAGGATAAAACCGCAACGTGCTAAGTCTAAAGCGGTAGAGCAAAGCACCGGCGAACGAGAATGACGGAGAGCTATCGCCGGAGAAGATGATCGGAATTTGGGGATTCGCTGGAAACTTTTACTGCAGAGAGAGAGAGAGAGAGAGAGAGAGAGAGAGAGAGAGAGAGAGAGAGAGAGAGTTTTCGAGAGTGTTTCCTCTCCCTGCAACCAACCCCTCCTTTTATAGGAGGGAAGTTGGCTCTTCGCTTGGACTGGACAGAAATTAGCGTCTCTTCGGTCTCAAATGCATGCATGCTTGTTTGAACGGCACTTCGTTAATCACGAAGTGTCCACGCGTGTTTGATTCGGTCTCGTATTTGTAATTGGAGGAGTATTACAAAGGTCATGTAGATTTAAAGGTGTTCAATTAAGATGAAAGAAATAATGGCCAACTGCGTAATTTTATAGTGAATAAACAAAATTTTGAGATTCTTGAGGCTTGACCACTACACACCATTGACAAAGAAAAACTTAACTACCTAAGAGTTTTAGGTCGTGTTACTTTCGCGAAAGTGTTAATTTCTTTCACGGAATTTCAACATCTTTATGTCTCTTAGCTCATATTCAAAATTTAGATTTGGGAGCAAACACAAAATCTGCACTAGGCAATTTAGCAATTACAGTATTTCATCAAACCTAAATAAATGTTGATAAAGGAAGAAAAATAATGGAAAAAACTCTTGGAAGGTAATAATTTTAAGTTTAATTTGAATTGAATTTAAACTAAATATAATCAGATCATATCAAACCAAATCAAATTAACACTATGTTTGATTAAAAGAATTTGAGAGAGAAGGGGAAAAAAATAAAAATAAAAATATTTTTCTTGTTTAGTTAAGGATAAAAAAGAATAGAAAAATGAAAGAAAAAAAAATTAGAAGACAAATATATTAAAAAGAATGAAAATTCAATTCTTTGAAGACAAATATATTCAAAACTTCCAAGAATACGGAACACGGCGTAAGTAGAGGAGAAGAAGCTTATCTTGGTTGGAGAAGTAATTTTCTTTCTAGAAAATCGGCAGTCTTAATCCTTCCGTAGCCTTGGGAAATGCAGGGGTTTTGTAATGTTGGCCGTCTGGCTAGGGTTCTAAGAGATAGATCTTCAATCCTGTTCAATCCTGAACAATTTCACGCCATTGGCGTTTCTTGTTTCTCGCTGCAATGGCGTTCCTCTCACACGAATCTGGTTTCCTCCTCCTGCTCAGGTTTGGTTTCCCTTGTATACGTTTGTTGCTATCTGATGGGTCATGTTTCAATTAGTCACTTTTGTTGTTAAATCGAGAGTATATACGGGAGTGCAATTGGAAGACAAGATTGCAGACATTTATTGCGGATTTTATTTGCAAATGGCTGAATGGTTTATCAGGATTTAAACTTCACTAGAAAGAAATGATAATTCTGTTCGCTGTCTTGATACTATTATACTAAAGTCTGAGTGTAAATCCAATAAAAGGCTTATTTGTTTCTTAATTTCCTGTTGGATATTGCGGTTTAGAAAATGAATTTGAATATAATGGTTAATATACTCAAAGTAACAATCAGTGTGTTGCTTAAATATGGAAATTAACTTCATATTAAACTTCATATTAAGCAGCACAAAGTCGACAAATACTATGTTTTCCTGTTCTTGTTCACGGTCCACATCTCACAATGGCCATTCTCTGTTTAATTTATTTTCTGCAGCCTGTAGTCACATTTTTCTTGCATTATATTCTCTAGAGCATCCATCTCAAAAGAAATCTTATTAAGAGTAGAAATACCAAATACTAAAAATTAAGAATGCTTACGGTGGAAGAAACTGAAATGATCAAGAACAAACAAGAGTTTCCCAGGAGACCCTCTAGCAAGATAATATTCACAGTAGAATTATTCTACACAGTAGCTACGATATTCTTATCCAAAACCCTTCCTCGTTCTTTCTCTGAGAGGGCTTCTATCATAATCTTAAAACATCAAAAAAGAAGGCAATTAATATATTAAATATCAATAAAGGTATTGTAAGATCTCTAAATTATGCTAAGAAGATTCTAAATCCATGCTAACGATATCTTCAATTTGCTCCCTTGTTTACCTGATTAACTTTCCTCGTTTGGTATCGTTACCACCCACTTCTTAGCAACCTTGTCCCCACAGCTGGAGGTTTGTGATTTGCCAGAGGAGTCTGAGAAATCATATTTTGTCTTCTTACCCTTATCAAATAGTTTGAATCTCGAAGTTGATTGTCTCATGATTGTGCTGGGTAAGCAATATATTGCTAAATTTTATAGATGTCCAGAATGTACACATGATTATCGGCTGTATTTGAACTTCTATTTCTTTCTCTAACCGACTAACCTTTCTCTAATATGTCGGGTTTGATGTGGAGGGGGTGAAGAATATTGAAGAATCTGTTTAGAGGGGCTGGTAGTCTTAGTGTTGGGGTGGGGGTGGTAGCATTTGTGTTGGGAGTGACAATGTAAATGATAGGGATTGTTGTGGTGGAGTTTCGGCATTGAAGGTTGAGGTATTGGTGTAATGGTGGTGTCACGGATTGAAGCGTCTGTGGCAGATTTGTGAAAGCAATCTTTATTACTTCGGCATTGGCAAAGTCTGTCTAAAGTGAAACATCCGGTATAGATATCTTGACATTGGAGTGCATGTTTTGCTACCATTGCATCCAAAATAGATTCAAACCATATCAAAACTTGAAATGTTTGCAAATTATCTTTCAATATTAGAAGGCATTGCTCCTTTTTTGTGTAGAAAAAAAAGTTTATATAATTTGAAATTGTCTACAAGACACCTCAAATGATGAAGCACTACCAATAGAACTTGATGTGCCATTTTTGGGGGTAAAAAATTGATTTTTTTACTTATTTAATGGGATAAGGCTTGGTTGTTGTTGTTGTTGTATCTCCGTATCTCCGTAACAAAGAATCATGATTCTAAAGAGCAAGACAGAAAGGGGCTAGTTGGACCACTTGATAGAGTATAAAGAGTAGAAATACCATATACTAAGAAATACAAAAGCTTGTATTGGCGGTGGAAAGAAGTTGAAATAAAAAAATCAAGATGGGTCCAATATTTTTCCTATTCCTAATCCTAACCAGAATCCTCTTCTCTTCCTCATAGATGGGTTTTATTTATAGCCATAAAGCATAAATTGAATAAGGTTTGCAATGAAGTAGTAAGTATCAACCAGAGAATTATTATATATCTCAAGTTATGCTCTGAAGATCCACAATGCATGCTGATGAGATTCCCAATTCGCCCCTAATTTCTGTTATTTACTTTCCTTTTCTATCAAAATATATGGTGCAATAAGATTTACTAAAGTTGGCAATGTGGGACAAACAGCTTTGTATGGGAATCCAATGCAAATGGAATCAAAATGTCAAAGAGTAGTGTCATCTTTGAAATGCCATGTGTCGCAGAGGTCGTCGTATTCTTCCAAAGCAATTGATGTTGGAAGTGGCTCTACAGGTAATAATTGTGTCATGAATGGTTTTAAGTCTTTTTTGTTGAAGAATAGTTTGTTTAGGCCATTCAGATGGTAGTGTTCCAAATGCAGAAACTGTGAAGGAAATATATGAAAAGATTCTGAAATCTATTGTGGACCAAAAGACGGCTCCTCCAAATGCTTATTTATGGTCACTAATCGCAAAATGTGCAAACGAAGATGATATTAAGCTCCTATTTGACATCCTGCAGAGACTTCGAATTTTTGTTAGTTACTCTTCCATTACTTGTAATTTGACTGGTGCCTCTACCTTCGGGTCCAATTGACATTTCAATACTATGCTCATGCAGAGACTTTCAAATCTTCGTATCCATGAAAATTTCAATTGTGCACTCTGCCAGGAAGTTACCAAGGCATGCATACGTGTTGGTGCCATTACGTTTGGTATGAATATCCGCATGTAAAGTTATGCCTTTAGCCATGAACCCTAGGGCTCTGTTTGAACTTATGAAATTTTTATTGAATAATCATGTCTAACTTTGTGGTGTGCAGGTCAAAAAGCATTGTATAAGCACAATCTCTATGGATTAACTCCTAATGTTGGATCTGCTCACCATTTGTTGGTATTTAAGGACATTTGCTTCTATGATATTTCATATTCTATGTGCATTATGTAAAAATAAATTATCTACAAATAGCTCAAGCTTTGTTGTTTGAATGTACGTACGTATTAAGGCACATCTATTTAATTATTTATTGATTTATTTAATGTGATTGTAGCTCAAAAAATCCGTGCAAATTTCTTGTTTATCTGTACATAGTTAGATTTGGTTTATGTGACTGCAGATGTTTGCTAAAAAGCATAATGATGTTGATCTAATGGTCGATATTATGAAACTCGTGTCGAAGAATGAATTACCTCTACAGCCCGGGACAGCAGATTTGGTTTTTAGGTACATAACAATAATTCATGCTTCCAAGTGTTCCAACCTCCATGCCCATCTTTCCTATTCTGTTGGTGCTCAAAGCTCTTCATCTTTATTTCTATATATAGTTGCGACTCACGAAGGTGGCCACTTTTTTAATTTTGTGGTGTAAATGGACTTTGCTAAATTTATACCTCTCCATTTGTTACATGTGGAGCAAAATGAAAGTGGATTAGTGGAACATATTAAGTTACAAAGAATGCTCAAGACTCATAGTTTACCCTGTTGGATATGTCTATTTGCAGCATTTGCTACCACAATGATAACTGGGAGTTAATGTGTAAGTATGGAAAAATGTTTGTCAAGGGAGGTGCAAGGTTGCGTCAGGGTTCCTTTGACTTGTGGATGGAATTTGCTGCTAAAATGGGTACTTGCAACCTCAATGCATATAATTTACCAGTCTTGTGCATCTTTCATGAAGTGGGTTGTTGATATGTTCATATAATAAATATCTTTACTGTCCTCTCTGTAGGAGATGTTGATTCACTTTGGAAAATTGAGAAGATAAGATCAGAATCTATGAATCATCACACTATTTCCAGTGCCTTTTCATGTGCTAAGGTAGTTACTTATCCACCATCATCCCTAATCCAACTTGTATCATATGTCCTCTCTACATGCTTCCTCCTTTTTTTTCATTTTCTGAAAGGATATGTAAATAAATTGCTTCATAAGTGCACACTATTTATGTATTTCACAGGCATTGTTGATCGAATCCAAATCTGAAGAAGCTGCTGCGATCATTCAAGTATTTTATGAGGTACCTAAATACATCTGAATGTTTTTTAGGAAAATTGTCGCCTTGCTTCTTGTTCTGCTCAAATTTTCTCAATAGTTTCAACATATTTCCTTGTAACTCAATGTGAATGGTAGTTGTTGCTAATCTCTTTATTCGATTTTTTCCCCCAACATATTCTTACAATGCTGTTATGAACACGGCAGAATTTACCTGTCTCTAAGAGGCAAAACATTACAGCAGAACTTCAGAAGCTAGTAAATGAGTGGCCTGTAGAAGTTATAAAGCGTCAAAAAGAGGAGAGCAGAAAGGTAAACCTGCTTAATATGTGATTCGGCAAAATCATTTGTTTCTTTTAGCAGACTTGGCAAATCTGGTCTCATGGAAATGCCATATTGTTCTGGTGTCCTCCAGGAATTGGCGAGAACTCTACAAAACGGCATTTCAACCATGATCGATGCACTATCAAGCATAGGCGCAAAGATGGATGTAAATGTGGAGAGGGTTACCATAGGTGTGTAGACTTACAGGTAGAGGAAGTCTCAAATTCAAGGTCATACAAAATCAATGAACCAGATAAGCTTCTAGTTATGACGTGCCTTTTGGGTCAAGCAATTAGGGCATTGGCAGGGGCTCTAGGAGGTTCAATAGGGTCCCTTGCCATTCACTTCTCATAAAACATGAAATGTATGGATAATTATACATTGCATGCATTTTCCTTCATAGTATAGTTGCTGTTGCACAACTCTATTTAGTCTTAAGACTAAATAATTTTGGATTTTGCTATCAGATCCAAGTATGACCCACCCTTTTTTTCTTCTTCACACACGCTAACCGTGCTTGTGAGATCATGTTCGTGAGAACAAGAAAGATGATGGACATATTTTGTGGGTGATTTTAGTATCGACTATTTTATGTAATTTGGTTTACTTAGAACGGACTTGATTTTTAATAGACGTTAACAAGTTTGGAGATGTGGGGCCATGCTTGTTCGACGATATGAGATCCAAAGCAGTATACATTTGAATGTATAAAATTCGAATGTATAGTTCATCTTTGGAATTCCTTTCGAAATGACATGTAACATTTGAATAGTTTGAATCGAGCATTCGAATGTTTCATGATTGGACGTGACAATTTGCGCAGGAAATCATTGGTTTCCTAATTGCTGCAAAACATTCAAATGTTTTAGCCTAAATATTTGAATGATACTCGTCAAGTCATTTTGCTTCGTACAAAAGACACGTCCGTTCAGATTTTGCTCCGTATATATGAAGTACAGGTGATGTTTGAAATATGATAGAAATTCCGTATCCATTATAGATATTTACGTCTTATCCAATTGAAATATTTGTGTATACTTTAAAAGAACTTTTATTTTAGGGCAATGCTAGGGGTACACCAACATGGGGTACCCCAAGTGTACACCAAGCCAACACAGACACATACAGACACAAAATGTCTGTGCAACGCAGACACTTTGTGTCTGTGTTGGCTTTGGGGTACCCATGTTGGTATAACCCTAGCTTAATTCTTTATTTTATGTTACTCAATTCCCCTCTAAAGTCTCTCTACGTTCTTAAATCATTCTATCACGTTCCAACTCGTTTTGGGTATGGCAAAGAGTTCGAGGGATTGACAGCTCTAGCCTCCACTGGCGGAGTATCCTGCAATGGTATGGCACCTCAGGAATCGAAGAGGTAGGGGTAATTCCGGAAAATGAAAGTGGATGCAAAAAGCTATCAGAATCAATCGTCGCCGGTGAGAACAGACAGAAACGCGAATCCAATGGTAGCCTTGGCATCATTTTCCACCCTCATCCCGCCGGCGCTGCCGCTTCCGGCGGCATCCATCTCGAATCTCCCGTCCACCAACAAGATCCCCTTCCACGGATTCAAATCCCGCAAACTGTTCCTCCACAAATCTCGAATCGCAGCGGGGAGCAACGGCGGCGGAGAAGCGAGAAGTGCGGAGAGGAAGAGGGCGGAGAAGCGCGATGTCCGGGCGAGGTTGAACGTGAGGTGGTCTGAATTGCTAGATCCGGATCCGGAAAACATGGCGGCGGTTGCGTTGACGGGCGTGCTGGCGTGGGCGAGCCTGCAGATCCTGTGGCAGCTGTTCCTCATTTCCTTGGCGATTTTGGCGGCTGCTCTCAAGTATTCTTTCATAGCCGCCCTCCTCATCTTCATCCTCATCACTCTTCTTTGATTGCAGGAATGAATCTATCATCAACCCCTCCAGTTTTATCATTTCTTCGCCCCGTTTTGTCTGGTTCATCATCATTTTGCGTTTCGATGATCATTTCTCTGTAATTTATGCTACCAAACTGTAATCTATCCATGGTTATGCATGATTTGCCTTATATAAGTATGTTGGCCATGATACCTTAATCAACAAATGAACCATATAGTTGTCTCCCAGGATTGTTGAGAATCCAATTCGAGTATTAACACTCCTTACCTTATCAAGTGCGGAATACCGATAATCAAAACAATAACATCATATCTACTTGTCTTATAATATTCTCCCTTCCTTTCTTTTTAAAGTTTGGTTCTTTCCATCCAAACATACAAATGAAATATTGATGACTACAGAGAGGGATAAACAAAAAAGTTAAGCCTTCATTTCTCAATAATTCAGTGGTTGAGTTATCCCAAATGATATGTGGATACTATGTCTTCAAGGGAGGAAGATTATCCATTTGGTTAGATAGAGGTGCTCTTTCTTCATCATTTATTGCTCTCATTTAGACTTAGGTTCCGTTTGGCATTAGCGTCAGAGATTAGTGTTAGAGTTTTTAAAAAGTTATCCGACGGTAGCCTTTAGCGTTTTCAGAATTAATCTGCACCGTTAAAATTTTATCGAAAACGCTGTTACCAAACAAAGCCATATTCTCGTTTTGAATAACGTTTTCCAAGAGAATTAATTTTTCCCCAACAAATGAATTGAAATTATCAAACAAAAGAGTTGTTAGATCTACATTTAGAAGACTCTTGGTTTTGGATTGACGTGTTAGTTTGATTTTAAAACTAATTTATTTAGACATTAAGTAGTACTACCTCCGTCCAATTTTAAATTGCCTTTTGCCTTTTTTCTTTGTCCCAGAATAAGTTGCATGTTAGTTATTTTCGTAAACTTTTAAGAGTAAAATGCCTAAACTACCTCTAAAATAAGTCACTCTTCTCCATATTATATATTCTCATTCATCATGATCACTCCTAAAAAGTACTGACAATTTTGAAAAATCAACTCTATTTTTTATTTTTCTTAAATATGCCCAAAAGTCAAAACATGCGATTTAAAACGGGACGGGGGGAGTAGCATACAATGGAAAATTACACTGAAATTTGTATATTTGAAAATTATTTATAAAACAAGTGGCGTGAACTCGATTAGTTTATTGTTACAAATGATTAAGGTAAATAAGTAAATAAAAGAAAATAAGTTGTCTTTGTGAAATAATCCAATCATTTCACCTTTGTACTATGTATCCTTTTCACATATAGCTCACCAAGAATTTATCATGAAATAATCCTGAATATAGAAAACTACAAACACAATATTTTAGAATACACGACTATGGATAAAAAATCTCCATTTACAAAGTTTGTTGAGACATGAATGAAATTTATGGAGTAACATTGTTCAATGTAATCATGAAGAATAATGCTCTTGTTGTGGAATTGCTGATTCTGTGCTCAAACTTGGCTCGAGATAATCGTACTTGGAAGGAATTTCATCACAAGAAGGCCGGCCCAACACCCGAACTTTGATGTATTAATATGCAATACAAATTAAGAATTATCGAAGTTAAAAGTTCATTGAACTTAACTCAAAAAAATGTCAAACTGGATGAATACATTGAGGTGAAAGAGTAATAATTTTATTTATGAAGTAGTCGAGTAATAACTAAATTACGACTTTGAAACAGAAAAAATCATCGAAATAATTGTACAAGAAAAGCCAAAATTTTATAAGTATCTTTCCATAAATAGTTTTTTTTATATTTTGTCATGTTAGTGTTAATTTGATGACTAAAAGTGTAATTTCACAATGATCGTACATATATCTTTTGTCATACTCAATTCTAGAGGCCGCTTCTGACTAATCGTTTGTGAATTGCATTTTCGTTTTAACTAATATTATAATCTATAGATTTGGTCTTTCGTCGAAATTCTAATCAACAATTATCGTCATTATTGTTGTGTTGACCGTCTAACCAACATCAGAATATGCTACTGGACATAAGATTGATATCAAATTATACTTTTATTTCTAAAATTAACACCAACGTGATAGAAGATAAAAAATGATTGTTTATCAAAAAGTATCCATAAAAAAAGCGATACAAAGATAATATTTAATAACAGAAGACTAAATATAGAAAATCTCATGTTATAAAGAATCAATTATGGTGTTTATATTTACTTGTTATAGAATTAGTAATGGGTATATTGAGAGAAGTATATATTGTTCTTTAATGAACACATGACAATTGACAACTATCCAATTTATAGGTACTATAAATTGGGCGATAGTTTAATTGGCTGCCAAGCATTATTACTCCGTTTTTTTTTTTGTATATTTTTGGGATTGAATTTTGATACTTTTCTAAGGTGGTGTTTGATAGTGTGCTGCTTTTAATAATTTAATTTTCACTTTTCACTACCACTATTAAGTACATAGAGCACCGTTTCAAAAAAGCAAATATGAGTTACTTTTTTATAATTTAATCAATAATTTAATCACTTTTTCCATAATTTAATCAAATCCCAAATACCCTCTAAATTGTGTTATGATTTCCCCTCCATTCATTCCTTCTGAGTTCTCTCCCGAATTCGTCCCTGTCAATTATTCTAACTCCTTAACATTGAAGAGATGTACAGAAGTAGGTCTGCACGATCTTCCTCCTACCATGACACAGCCATTAGGCTCTCGGATTCGGAGAAGATTGAAGGTGCCGGTAGCTGGGACGCCATTGAATGGACCAAAATTGAAGTAATTTCCTAATCTGTTTTTTTCAATTCTAGGGTTTCCGGCTTCATTTTTCTTCGACTGTGTTTGTATGATTATTTATGGAAGCGCGGGGTAACATTGCTGATTTTACGTGTGCATTCTCTTAATTTTCTTTTTGTTCGAATGCTTGGCAGCCTATTTCAAGGTCTGTGTCGCAGGGAGTTAAAAAGTTCTTGCTCCAGGCTGAGAAGGTCATCGTGGAGGTGTGTTTTTACCATTTTTTTTCACATGTAGTGTGAAATATATGAAGTTGGACAAATTGGTCTGCTATTTTTTACAGCTGCATATATATTTTAAAAAATTAGCTTTTACTGAAGGTATGGCATCCACTGAGTTCAAAGTGAAACATTCAAATACCCCACAATTGTTTGAAATGTTGGGAATATTGGTGACCTAAATCACTATGAGATTTGTTTTAAAATTTAAATTAGCAATATAGGTTACACCACGTTCATTTCAATTTTTGAACTTAAATATGCATATTATATAAGAGTTCGTTTGTTCTTGAAAAAGAATAGAGAGGGGATGCAGTTTAAATTTAATGGTTAGGGAATTAATTCTATCATTTGGTAGGATGAAATAAAATTGAATGGAATAATAGTTTGGTATGTAATGGAGTTGCAAGGGAATGAGTAGTATGGTAGACCAAAAAAGTGGGCTAGGGGAATTATATTCTAAAGGGAGAAATCATTCAACACACCAAACCACATAATTGTTCACTTTTATGGAATTAGGAGGGATAGGAATTGCGCCCCCCATACCCCCCAAACCTCCATGGGTTGTATTTGTTACATTGACGAGCCGCTTGATTGCTTTTAGTACTTGACTTAATATAGACTGAATATGAGCAATGGTAGATTTGTTGTAAGGTGGTAGACACAGATGTTTGATGGTGCATATTAGTGATGGTGATAGTGAGTAGAACTGAGAAAATGTGTCAGTTATCTGTGGTGCAATGATATGGAATACTTTTTAGTGTATAAACTTATTTTTTTTAAATGAGTATATTATAGTATTATTTTTATCACATTATATTTCAAACTAAAGTACATGAATTTGAAAATATCTTACCTTAGCGGGTCGGTCAAGTTGGTTTTGGGTTCTGTTGGATTTTACCCATTTTTAGCGGGTCATTTCGGGTTTAATTAACAAAATATCTGTTCAAAACTCACCATTTTCGGGTCGGGTCTCCAGTCAAAAACCAGTTAGGGCATTTTTTTTCATTGGAATACAAATGAAAAAATTGTTTCCATTTGTAAAGATTTTGTTTCACACTAGCTTTAGCATTTTCTAAAAGTCACTCAATGTAGCATTTAGCTTTAGCACTTTTAAAGTTCAAAGTATTAAAAGTTCTAATGTCGTTACAAATGATGTTCCCAAACCCCAATTGAAAACAACAGATCCATTAAAATCCATGAGTGGGGTCTGGGTCTCCGGGGTGGATGTATGCATACTCTACCCTTGCCTAAAAACAGGTAAAGCAGTTGTTTCCGTCTTTCCAAAAGACCCACCGGCATCAAAATTAGTGAGAATCGAGTTGGGATTCAAAAATCAAACCATAGACCTCTTAAAGAAGGTTCGACAATTAATTCATGGAGACTACAATCCTATCTGTTCCCAAGCAGACCCTAAAGAATTTAGGAAACCCTATTTTTGAAATTATTCAAACTTCCCTATAAGGTACCCACATCACTAACCTTTTGGCACCATCACTTCCACCAACAACTACCATTCGTACTACAGTTCATTAATAATAATCTGCCTGTTTTCACTTATCATAAGAACCATTGCTACTAATTATCTAAGATCCTCATTTTTTCATCTTCAGAACTATCAATTACTATTCATTTTGATTGTATATGCCACCATCCATGCCAATTGGCTTGATCCACTTCAAACCATTCACTGAAGGGGGCGGGATATGCGTTACTTAGAGAACATGAAATTAAGATATGCCCCATCTAAATTTATAAAATGTGAAGTTTGGTTATATTAGACTTTTATTTTTGTAGTAGCTTTTATGGTATTCAAAATAGTTTTAGGTCACTTCACGATCAGAATTAGAAGTCAGTCTGACCCCAAACTGGCAACCTGAACCTGAAATAACAATATACTCTGAAAATGTTATGTTTTTTAGGAACGTAAATGCTATGTTTTTTGAGGAACGTAAATGTTATGTTTAATATGGAGTATATGAACTCCAAAAAAAACTGAAGCTCAAAATTCATCAGCAGTTGAATCAGTCCTATGACTTTTATACAATCCAATTTTAAATAGAAATTTACTATCCCCATTTGTGTTTTTAATTTTTAATTTAACATTATAAGTCAAATTTAATTCATGCCAAAAATTTCCTGAATTGTACAATAGTACTTCGGGATGCACTTACAAAAAAATTTAAATGCTTGCCTCAGGAAAATGGCGTTGTTCTTGTTAACACAGATGAAGCCGGAACACTCTTTGTTACAAATTTTCGTCTTCTTTTTTTGGTAAGTAAATAACTTACCCTTTTCCATCATTAAATTCTCTTTATTCACTTTTATTGCTACATAATCTTTTTTAGGCCTCCCATGTAGTGACTTATACCCTTTTATATTTAAACATTATCATGAGAGTGATTTTTCAGGATTGTGCTCAAGTTTTATCTAATTAATATATTAGACCATGTATGCATGGTTTTTTGTTATCAAAATAACTATATCTTGTTTATAAGCCTCCCATGTAGTGAATTTATACATTCATTTGGAAACTCAACCATGACAGTGAATTTTCAGGGTAGTGCTAAAGTTGTAGAAGTTGTAAGCATGATCTTTTGCTTGTCGAATTTATGATTTGGTTTTTAATTATAGAACTTTGGTTACAGATCTTTTGTTTATTGTTGCAAGTCGTACTTAGTTTCTTTTTTGTTTTTTCGGTACTACCTAGAGTGAAGGATCAAGGGACATCATTGCACTGGGCACTATACCACTGGCAACAATTGAGAAGTTTAACAAAACTGTAAGTATATTTTCCTTTCTCTCTTTTTGATTGAGAAATGCAACTATTGGTAGGTGTTGATTGTATTTTAATTTTTTTTACATTTCAAACGTCTCATTTTTCAGCATCGAACTTTGTCATATTGTACTCGTGTTCATGTGCAGTTGCAATAGCGTTTTGCGTTTTAAAACTATACTAGTGAAACACAACACATTGTTTATGTCAAGCAAAATCTGAAGTTTTCATGCATGTGCCTACTTGGTTAGATTGAAAATCTCTAACAGTGTTTGTATTTTGTTTTCTCTACTGGAAATCAGGTTTTGAAGCCTCCATCAGCAGCTCGTCAGTCTGACAAGAACCCATCCCAACGACTGCTTCAGGTCATAGGTATTCCATTAAAGGTGTTTCTTTTTAACATCATACCATTGGAGCTTGTTATCAGATGAGACTAATGACACTATATACAGTGTACACATTGCTAGGCTCACTTGATTTTACATTTTTTGCAGGCAAAGATATGAGAATTATTGTTTTTGGTTTTAGGCCTCGAACGAAGCAGGTGTTTACACTTTATTATTCTGCCATCAATTATTACATTGTGCAATATTGTTTGTGGTGAGAAGTGAGAAATTCTAGCATTGTTCATGTACACAGCTGATCGTTATGAAATATGAATGTATAAACTATTTCAATGTTTTTTTACTTTAGGAACTATATCTTGGCTACTACCTAGGGCATTACTGAAGCATTTTCTATAGGATCCCTAAAAATCACGAGTCATTTGACCTTTTTCCCTCTTGAAATAGGTGGCAAATTAATCAATTATATCATCACTAATGAAATCAAGAGTAGAAGAGACAAACCCAAAGTACTCATGTTAAACTTTTGTGATATTTCATGGCTGCGTTTAAATGATAAATTTGTCACTATTGTTATTTGTAGAGACGTGCAGTATACAATGCATTGTTGAAGTTCACAAAGCCCACAAGACTTTGGGATCTCTTTGCTTTTGTTTCTGGCCCTTCCATGTTTGTTAACGGAGATCCAAATGTTCGATTACTAAATGAGTACTTTCGGCTCTTGGGGTTACGATCATATCATGCTTCACTTAGAACCATTGAAGATGGGTCTTTCACATTGTCTAACGAGTGGTGGAGAATAAGCAATGTGAACTTTAATTATTCACTTTGCTCGACCTATCCATTTGCCTTGCTGGTTCCAAAATCTATTAGGTGGCATAATTGATCGTAATCTGGTATCTTTTCTGTGAAGAAGTAATTATTCCATCCTCATATTTTATCATCATGCACCATGTTTTTATTTCAGTGATGATGAAATCCAGCAAGCCTGTACATTTCGCGCACGTTGTAGGCTTCCAGTAATTTCATGGACTCATCATGGTATGCTTCAATTTCAAGTTTAATGCTTAATACTCTTGTTTCCATTAACCCTTTCCAGTTGTTGCTTATATCTTCATATAATTGGTTAACCTTTAGGAACTGGGGCTGTTCTGGCACGCTCATCTCAACCCCTTGTTGGTCTCATGATGAATCTTAGAAGGTAACATAAACAACCTAGTTAATGCTACAAACAATAGTTTGTTTATGTTTTTTTCCCATTCTCATCCATCAAACCTCTCTATGAAATGGTGTCCATATATATGGAGTTGTCTACTTTTCTTTACTCATTTTTATTGTTGAGAAAAAGCCTACTTCTTATTTGATCAACACACTTACATTCTTCTGCAGCAACGTCGATGAAAAGCTTGTTGCTGCACTCTGCTCTCAATTTGCCGGAGGACAACAGAGGTTATTACTACCCTGATTCCATTTTACTGTAGTATTTAATTTATTTTTCCGGGGTGTTTCTTCTTCAAATCCAAGTGGTTAGCTTCTTCTTTCCTAGGCATTGCAACAACCCTTCGTGTTTTCTGCTTTTTAATTGCTTTTCTCATTTTAACTTTTGACATAGTTTCACCTATTGTAATGGTGTTTGATTATTTATACTTCACAATTTTTGTCTCTTTAAAATTAATTGTTTTTGCTCCTAGGAAACTATACATCGCTGATGCAAGACCTAGAAAAAATGCTCTTGCAAATGGAGCAATGGGAGGTGGATCTGAGTCGTCTTCTAATTATTTTCAATCAGAGGTTTTATTTTTTGTGAATCCATAGTGCTAAAATATTCATTGATTTCCTTCATTATCTGGCTCTCACATACACTCATGTATTTCTTTTATTATATTTATCTTTAGATCGTTTTCTTTGGAATAGACAATATACATGCAATGAGAGAGAGCCTAGCTCGGCTTAGAGACTACTTGGATACTCATGGGACCACCTCATCAGATGGAATGTCATCATTTTTGGTATGCCATCAATTCTTTCCAAAAAGTCTGGTTTTCATTTTTTCTTAATGTATAAAAGCTAAATTCTTGTTTATTTGGTACTCCATCCATTTGAAATTAGTGGTCACATTCACTATTCACATAGTCAAACCATATCTTCTTTCTTTACTTATTTTCTTTAATCATTTGTTTTAATAACATAGTCAAGCCACCTTTGTTTACAATGCTTGTCTGAATTTATTTTCAATTTTAATTTATAAAATATTGGTGTAAACTGTAAAGTAAAAAACACAAACTTTATATATTTGAAACTACATCGAAAGCTCTTTAAAACAGGACTAGTAATTTGGAACGTAGTATAGTAGGTTAGTTGAGCAAGGTTTGAAATATCCCTCCTAAAGACTTGATTATTCATGCTAGTAAAGCTTTTTTTTAGCATAGAAATTCATAATATTCAGTATCTATTGTCTTGTTTGAGACTGGTACTCAATTCCATGAAAAACATGGTTGGACATGCATTTACCTTGGTTCTATATCGTTGCAATAAGGACAAGAACTCCAGAGGTCATGTTTTAGACTTATAAATATCTTCTTTTGGTTGTTGTTATCATCATTATCAACATATCTTGTTTTCAGAGGCATGGCGGGTGGACATGGGGAGGTGGTAACCTCAGCAGTATGTCTGCTTCAGTTTCAACTCTTGGAGATACTGGTTGGTTAATACATATTCAAAGTGTCCTAGCTGGTTCTGCTTGGATTGCTGCACGTGTTGCACTGGAATCAGCTTCAGTGCTTGTCCATTGCAGGTTCAGTCCCTTTCAAATTTTGTGGTATTAATAATAAGTCAATAACAACTCAATATATTCCCAACTCCATTAGGGTCTGGCCGTCTGGGGGAGTCGATATATGCAGTCTTACCCACCCACTATTGGGGGGGGGGAGGTATATGCAGTGTTACCCCTTTTTAGTGAGGCTGTTTCTGTTAGAATCCTTTGATCTATTACGATGGAACAAAATTTGCCAAAACCCTAATAAGTGATATTGAAGTTCTTACTGCATGAAACATAAAATAAAGCTACCGGTTTGCAGCCGAATGACTCTAAGAAAGATGGATGTATGTTACAGCCTGATGTGAGAAAGAAATGAGATGTTTAATATTTCATTTGTGTTGCGACTGTTGCCAATATGGACTATTTTGATGGTATAGACTGTTGATTAGCTTCTTCAACCTCCATCTGTCCCTTGAATAATGGAAACACATGTCAGCTTGTCTATAATATCTTTGTCATGTTGAAGGTACATGACAGCCAAAGTTCATAGTCAGTACAAAATTCTTACCAGTTATTCCATCGTATTTTCACACGTGATCTAATATCTTCCATTGTATACGTCCAATACTGCTTTACCTGTTGCTTTTATTCTAAATCATAAAAATTGCTTTCTTCAGCGATGGATGGGACAGAACAACACAACTGGTATCACTTGCCAGCTTGTTGCTTGATCCATATTACCGGACAATCAAAGGATTCCAGGTATCAAGCAGATATTTCTTCACTTTTTTACTTTTTGTATGGTTCTGTCTTTTTTCCTCCAACTATTGTGTCCCTAACCTTTTAAAGAACATCTAATTTCTTGCTACCATGAAAGTGCATAACTTTCTGCTTTTTGAAAAATGTGACATTTCTTCTTTATGCATGTTAAGAAGCACACATAGCCTGCATGGCTGCATGGAAAAATTGATGAAAATGGAACCTATATATTTAACAGGGAACTCCTGCTCAAGTAGATGTATTTTATTTTGATGGGGTTATTTCCATATTTGATCCTTCTGTTCTGTTGCAGGTACTCATAGAAAAGGATTGGCTTGCATTTGGTCATCCATTTTCAGATCGTGCTGGATTGCCAGCTTTATCTGGAAGTGGGGACATGCCGTCTGAGTTAACTAGACAGGTTTCGGTTGGGAGCTCGTCTCCCCTTCGCCAATCGTCGGGCATGTCTGCATCTCCGAATCCAAATTCTTCACACGGCCATAACAATTGTTCCCCTATTTTCTTACAGGTATGCAGAAGCAGTTCATGCTTATTTTACTTTCGAGCATGAGCTGAATAGCCATTTTCTTGTTGCCATGGTATTGCATCAGAAATGGTATTGACATGTTCATTTTTTGGGTTAAGAAAAATAAATCATTCACATCTTTAAGCTCTATTTGGACCTTGTGCTCCTTTGTTTTGCTATATGGTGATGGTATCATGGTACTATACTACCATTATTGGGAAAAAGTTTGTTTGTGTCGAGTTTCAATATCATTTAATGACTAACAAATTAACTACTATCTCAATTTATTTTACTCCCTCCGTCCAAGTTGAAACTTCCCGTTTTGACTTGGCACGGGTTTTAATGTAAGATGAAAAATGTATTGACTTTCCACAATTGCCCTTCCTCTTCACATCATACTCTCCCTGCTACCCACTTCTTGCCTCTGAATTTTCATCCTTTTCAATCACCCCATCTCTTCTTCAATTCACAATCAAATTACATAATGAAATCAAAACGTCAAAACCAAATCAAAATTGATTCTTTTCACACTCAAGAAAATCAAATTTAGAGTTGTGACTAATACAAAGAGGTGAAGAGCCGATGAAGAAATAAAAAAAACAGATCTACGATTGTTACTCAATCGCCCCCTCTGTTCGTCTCCCGCGCTGTTGTCGCCCCTTTTTGTCTCTCACCATCGCCACCCCGGAACAAATCTAGCCTTCTTGAACAGATCTATCAAAAGCTTCTTGCGATTTGATCAATTAGCTTTGCAATTTGACAAAAATTAGGAAAAAACAAGGTCGGGAAGGGGTGTATCGAAGAAGAACGAAGGAACGTAGAAGCTAGGGTAGAAGAAGAAAATAAAAAGAAGAAGAAGAAGAAAAGAAAAGGAAGAAGAAGAAGAAGCAGATCGAAGAAAGAAAGAAGGGGAGGTGTGTTTTACGGAAGAAAAAACACAAAATGAAATGGGGGAAGAAACAGATCGAAGAAAGAATGAATAGAAAGAAAAAGAAGGGGGTGGAGTGGGTGGGCCGTGGGTGGGGCTGGTCTGATTGGTCTCAAATAAGAGAAGATGAAGAAGGGTAAATTAGTCTTTTTAATAAATTTTATTTGCCAAATAAGGAAACGGGAAGAATCAAATGGGACGGCCCGAAAAGGAAAGTGAGAAGAAAGATATGGGACGGAGGGAGTATTATTCCTTCAGAAGGTTGTGACATGAAGGACATCCTGCTTAAAATTTTCCCCTATATTTTTGCATGGATCTGTAGTACATAGTATTAGATATTTTAATTGATTGGCCCAATTCATTGGGCTTAAGGTGACGATGACTGACACTATAAATTCATGTTACTACAATGTAAATGAGATGAAGGTGGTCTGAGTGGGTGGGGGGGGGGGTGATTTTACATGTAATTGTGCATATCATCCACCACATTTTCAATGTGCACTTTTCTTCCAATGCAGAATTCAAATATACTATGTCTGTAATCCAACCTGATATTTAAAAAAACGACATAGATTCTTAATTATGATTTATATTGTTATTAACATAGTGACTTCGTGGTTAAACCTAAACTATACAAAATTCAAAAAGATTTAACAGTGACAATTTGATCTGCCAATGAGAAAAGAAGTGAATAAATCCAAGGCAGCTAATAAATTAGATGCAGTTGTATGTTGCCTGTCATTTTCCCCTTTCACTATGCCCTCATGCTGATGCACTTCTCAATTCATTTGCAGTGGATCGATTGTGTTTCACAGCTTTTGCGGATGTATCCTTCTTCCTTTGAGTTCTCCTCTGTGAGTCTCTTCCTCTGAAAATGCATAGTTGAAATTTAATAAAGCTGGTCTAATTTTGCAAATGATTAGCTTACTGGCTTTATTCTCAACAACACAGGCATTTCTGGTAGATGTATTGGATTGCATGCTTTCTTGTCGGTTCGGAAACTTTTTGTGCAATAGGTAAATGTATTGATATATGTTGTTATTATATACTTCATTTTCTTTTCCACCTGGCTCCCTCATTCAAGATTGTTTCTCATTTCGATACTATCTGCAAACTTCGCCACTCCAGACTTCCAGAGAGAATACTTAGTTTGTGGGATTAAAGTAACATATGCAGAAACTGCAACATTAGTTCTCTCTTAAGGAAAAACAAAATGATGTCCTCATTATGGATTTTTGTCTTCTTTTTTTAAATAATGAATCAGTGAGAAAGAAAGGCAACAAGCTGGTATTGCTGATGCATGTGGATGTTTATGGGCATATTTGGATGATTTACGGTCTATAGAAGGAAGTTCACACGTACATTACAATGTTTTCTATGATCCGTTGAAACAGGGAGGGGCATTGCTACCTCCAGCTGCAGCTTTAGCTCCCACACTTTGGCCTCAATTCCATCTTCGATGGGCTTGCCCTTCAGAGGCTCAAGGTGGTGATGTGGAAGCACAGTGCCGAATCCTCACTAGGAAATTCTCTGGTATGCAAAAGGTAAACTCTAGTTTTAGTGACTATGTTTGGAGATTATTAAGTGCTTCTTTGGTAAGAACCTATTTTTTTCTGCTTATCAGCAATTTTTTACTAACTCACAGCTAAAACTAAAACTTGGGTACAACTTACTTTTCTTTGGGTGAAATGAGAGGAAGGGATGTTTGCTTTTTCCAAATGGAAATGACATTTTCACCTGAAATGAAATGACACGTCCTCATCTTAAATATTATTTTCTTGATTTATAAATACGCAGTCCCTTTGTCACTAAATGTTCTCATATTCTTTTTTTTCTCGCAAAATAAGGAATTGAAATTGTGTGTGCTTTTTTCTTTTCTTTTTTTTTCAAACTGAAATTGTGTTTGGAAGAAAAAAAATTGATTCCAACTGCACAATCATTTACATTAAGGAGATGAGAAGAGGTTTTTGGGATAATAGGAAAGTGGGAAGAACATTTAGTAATTGGGCTGGGGATAGGGAAGGATATATTTCAACCCAATTCATTCCATTCAATAACTTCAGTCATTTCAACCAAAATAAGTTGTCAATTTCTAGTCTATGACTAGTTAAACAGCCAGTCCTATCATTTTCCTGCCTTGAGAGTGTGTCAAAGTTATTGCCATGTTTCTCAGGCAAAGGAAGCTGCAGAAACAAGAATCAAAGAAATGGCAGCAAACACAAAACATCTCTCTGCCGAGTTGCAAAACGAGAAACTCGTGAGTAGCTCAGCCATTGACTCGGCAAAGAGAGCCAACAGGGATCGTGTTGCCATAACACGTGCCGTACAATCACTGGGCTGCAAAGTACACATCTCAGCAGATGGTGACTGTAGCATTGACATCGAGAACAACCCTAATCAAGTTCCTCAAAACTCTCTTCACTCTCCCTCAAGAAATGAAAAACACCTGAGTTATGGTGATGATGAGGTCAGCCCAGATGACCCACCGAGCGACCCATTTGGCCGAATATGCGAATCGTTATGCCCGATGTGCACGAAAGAGGGAGGGTGCAGGTGGCCCAATGCTGGGTGCACTCAGTTCGGGAGCCAATGTGTTGGTTTTAAAGCAAATTTTGAAGCGTTTGACCGGCTTTCTATATTCGACACTTATTTCGAGTCCTAACAGATGATGATATAATCAGAGGGCAGTGGGTTTTGCTTTTGAGGCTGTAAATACGAAAGGTGTCTGAGTTGTAGGGAGATTTGTGGATGCTGAGATTCTAAAACAAGATGCTAACAATGGAAGGTAGGCAATACACAGTATTGAGTTAGGGACATAGTTTCTTTTGGGTTGTAAAGAGTTATGTGTAGATATAAATAAGGACACTCCATTTTGTTCTGTGAACTTCTGAAGGAGAATTATTTTTTAAAAATAAAATCCGAATAAAAGCATTTTTTTTTTCATTTCAACCCCACCTCTTTAGGTAGCTTTGGAGGTAAAATTATTTTCGATATGCTTTAGTTTTGTTTTAATAAAACACTAATAACATTATTCAAACCTGAGTACGTCTCACAAGTATGTGCCAGAGGAACATGAATTCACTTCACCCAATTAGACTTAAGATCAAATGCCCGAGCAAGCATATTAGCTACTTGGTTCGCTGATCTTCTAACAACTGACAAGGGGAGAGATTCAAAGTCTTGATTTCTTACAATCATAAACAAAACCCATAAAATAAGAAGAAACCTCCACATTGTCTTGGAATGCCATGAAAATAATTTCGCTATCGATCTCCACCACAAGTTCATGATGATTGAAAGTCGTCCTCAACCATTTTAATGCCTGAAGACACCCTTTTGCTTCAACTATTTGAGCATCCTCTAACTGACCTAGTCTAATATGTGCCCCTGAACGAAACGGCCATGTGCATCGCGAACCACGATCCCAGCATTCCCTATCCTTGTTTACGGGTGAAAACTTGTGTCAACACTGCATTTAAGCACATGTTCCCTCGGGGCCTGCCATGTATCCACCTACCGATCTAGCCCCCTCTCACTCCTCCACGCATTACCCTGAATCGCCTGTCATTACTGCAATTTCTCGAATTGCCTTGGTCATAAGTGTTTTTGGCGCCATGCGTTTATCCTTCCATACAAGTTGGTTACGCTGCTAAACCTCCCACAACACCATGATTTAATAAAAAATGTAGACTTTTAAAGATTATACTCCATACGTCCAAATTAATCTTCCCAGATAACTTATTTTAGTATGAATGTTTTTATTAATTATGTGATAAAATAAAATATTTTTTGTTATCTCTATTTTGTAAATTTTTGATGTAGTAATGAATATTATAATTTATACTTTTTATTTCTATATCAATTTGTGGATAAATTTATTTTAAAAGACATAAAATTAACACGTTTTTCCAAATAAAGGAAGTATATTTGACAATTGCATAAGTGTTTTTACATACACATGGTAGTTTGACTAATGTATTTCATTCTATTATATGACATCCATAATTCAAATACTCCCTCCGTCCCCCTGTATTTGTCCATATTTGACTTTTAAAACTGTTTATCTAAGCACTTTGACTCATCAAATTCTTTCAATGTGTAAGCCTAAATATAATCATGTGTGATCTTGTTTGATTTGTCTTAACATACAGATTATTAATATATAATTTCTATAATTTTTTAATATACAAATTACAAGATAAAATGGATTAAAGAAGTGCATTGGATGGTGTGCCAAAAGGTAAATGGACAAATACATAGGAACGGAGGGAGTATTTAACTTAAAACACAACTTTGTATTAAAAAATTAAAAATAGAGCACAACTTTGTTAAATAAAAAAAGAGCCTAAAAGTTTAAGTGGTTATTATTGCAAAACAAAAGATAACTAGTCTACATTTTGAAAACGATGGCTTTTTCCCAATAAAACAATACTTCATAGGTATTTAATCATTAATGAGTATAAAAAAAAAAAAAAAAAATCATTAAAATAATATTCTGTAGTAAGTTTAATGAAAAAAAATTCATTTAAAAACACAATAAATAATTCGATAGCATTTTGGTTCAATTTTTTTTCTCTTTTGTCTACTCGGATTAGAAATTAAACTCAAAGTGTGTTTGGTTGGAAATGAAGGAAACGATCAAACAAACAACTATAGAAAAACTTTGGATCCACTGCAAACATTTCCAAGTCTTTACAATTTTATCCATCAAAGAGACGAACTTATGTGCATATCATAGAAAGGAATATGTAAGCTTTTTCATTATCTGAAAAAAAAAACATATCTTCTTCAACTTCTTCTCAAGAAAAAAATGGATCAAAGCGCAAATCTACCGTATTATGATTGCTCCTCCTGAGCAGGCGGAGATGTTTCTTCATTGGATGGCTTCTTCAAATTCCTCTCATTCCATCTAGTCCACGCCCATTTCAACACTAAGTAACCACCAATCGCATAAACCTAAAATTATGCACAAATGCATCTCTATTACTGAAGATTTACGGAGTAGAATGAACGAAATGAGATCTTCGATCTGTTAGAAGAAATGAAAACCCTAGTTTCGATTCGATAACATATTTACAGTACCTGCCACAGGACCGCAGGCTTAGTGTCGGTCTCAGATTCGTGAGATTCGAGTTTCAGAGAGGGCAATTCCGCCCTAGGGAACTTCACTACAGACGGCTTCTCTTTGTCCTCGGCGACTTCTGGCTTCGGATTGCCCGGCTGAGCCTCGTCGGCGGCGGGGGCGGACTTCGGCTGCGGCGGTTTGAAGAGCTGAAGGAAGGCCGAGAGCAGGGAGAGGAGCGGGTTACTAGGATTGTTTCGCCGGTCGTCTTCGCTCGACGTTGAGCCGCCGCTTGCGGCTGAGGCGGTAAACTGCTCCGACATCCTCCCGCTCGGTGGAGCGCGATTTCTGGTCTAATTTGGAATCGCGGCGGCGATTTCGAAGTATGTGAAAGGTTGAACACGCTATGGGAGGGGGAGAGTATTTGAACTGTAGAATTTCTTTGAATATACCGTATACGGACGTTTCTCGAACAAATTTGTTACTCGGGTAATCCAATAATTGTACCGATTTGTGCATCAAACACAAACACAGACATTTTATGTCTCTGATAATACGAGTATGTCTATGTTCTAAAAATTAGACTAGTACTCGTGCAATGCACGCGTTGTTAATTTACATATAATTAGTAAATGTTTAGAATAATGAAAAATATTACAAAACTTAAGACTTTACATAATTTAATACAATTGTAAAAAAAGGGAGTATATAGTACTCCCTCCGTCCTAAAATTTTCTTTCCGTTGCGCAAAATGAAAAAAAATTCCAAGTTTTTTCAATCTATTTTATTTAAATATTGGCATAGAAATAAAAAATAAAACATACATATTTAAAAAATATATCAAAAGTTCAACAAAACAAGTATTGACAATAATATTTTATTTTATCATAAAGGCCATGAAAAAACATAAATAAATATAAATTCTCGTGAAGTTGAAATAGTGTTCTGGGAAGAAAGTTTTAGGACGGAGGTAGTAATGACCAAAGTCAATATGAAATATTATAAGTTTTGGAACATTTCATTTTACTCGAACTAATATCACACCATTACGTCACACCATTACGTTGCACGGGTCATATTTACGTTACAAATTTAAGATCATTTTTGAATGATAGAAAATCAAATCTAATAGAATACAAAGTTTTTATTATTTTAAGGAAAAAAAGTTTTTTTGCATTACTAATTTCGAAAACTTCTTTATGAACTACATTATTCGTACAATTTTTGATAATATTGTCTTCGTTACATATCAGAATCTTCAAACACTACTCTTGTAACTATAACATACAATTGCGAAAGTGTTTGCAATTGACCCTATTCACACTATGAATTTTTTTGCTTATTCTCATATTTACGTTACAAATTTAAGATCATTTTTTAATGATAGAAAATCAAATCTAATCGAATACAGAGATTTTATGATTTTAATGCAAAAATTTTTTGCTTTACTAATTTCGAAAGACTTCTTTATAAACTACATTATTCGTAGAATTTTTGATAATATTGTTTTCGTTACATATCAGAATTTTCAAGCACTATGGTTTGTTACTCTTGAAACTGCATCATACAATTGCGAAAGTGTTTGCAATTAGCCCTATTTACACTATGAAAAGTTCTTTTTGCTTATTCTAATTTCCTTTTCAGATTTTTTTAAATACAATGTGTATAAGGCAATTTTTTTGCTTACCTATTCCTTATAACGGTTAATTGTTTTCAACATTTTGTTATTGTTTTTATACACATGTTACATCTTAATTTATAAATATACATTATGTTTTTGGTGTTACATATCATTTCAACATTTAAATTTATTACACACCGTTTTAGCTCTACGTACAATTTCAAAATTTTATTTTATTACATATGTAATAAAATAAGAAAATTATTTTATTTATTTCATAGGTACTAACAGTGTATTTATTATTCATTCTTACCAAAACAATGTATAAGATAATTATTTTTATTTAAAATCATTGTATTTAAAATACGTATGAAGTTAAAACGAAACATAGTACTGTGTTAATTAGTTTTTTTATAACACCATATCATAAATTTAATATATCTTTAATTACATTTGTATACACACTTTACAGCATCTTAATTTCTAAATATATGTTAATTAAGAAAATAAAAAATAATAAAAACATTTTATTTATCGCATTAGAGATTAGTATAGCGTTTTGTAAAGACTATCTGAACACATCTGTATAGTTCTCAAAATTAATAGGTTTTTTTATCTTTAATGCTAAACTAATCCAAAAACCGTTCCAAAACAAAGTCTTAATAAATAAACACATGTGATTAAGCAATAATAATAAGTTCAAACGACTTTTCGTTAAGATATTCTCTCCGCCGTTCATACCCTATCTTCCTCTCCTTGACTAACCTACACACATTCAGATCTTTTTTCATTACCTCATTTCTCTCAAATAGTCTCACTCACTTGCACTACTCCCCTCACCCACTTTATATCCCATTTTATACTCCAATAAAATGTAGATGCAATACTGATATAATATCAGTTTTGTATTTATATTTAATGTTAGAGCAAAGCATTGGAATATAAAATAAGGTACAAATATAGGGTACAAGTAGAATTTTTCTTATTATGTTTATTGGACACTTGGCAAGTGTGTCAAAAAGTAAGATTCGAATTTGATTTCTAGCAAATGTGCAGATTCTATTCTTTAACACTCATATGAGATTAAAAGCTAATTTATTCGCAGTAACCGTGATCTGAGAGGTCCCTCGCTAATAGGGCTCATCCTTATTTTTTTTGTTTATAAACCCTCAAATTCCCTTCTCCTTCAATTCAATCCACCAATCCTCACCAATATTCAGTCACACAGAGTATGGCAGCCATGGCCACAGCACCCCCAACCTCCTCCGGATCCCTCTCTTCTTTCTTCCCCACTAACAAAATGCCTTCTTCTTCTTCTTCTTCAGTCTCTCGCCGATTCGCTACTCCTGTTAATAAATCATCATCTCAGATCTCATCCATGTCCTCCGACATCAACTCCTTCAAATTCCAACCCATCAAGGAATCCATCGTCTCCCGCGAAATGACCCGCCGCTACATGACCGACATGATCACCTACGCCGACACCGACGTCGTCATCGTCGGGGCCGGCTCCGCCGGCCTCTCCTGCGCCTACGAGCTCTCCAGATCCGACCCCACCGTCCGCGTCGCCATCGTCGAGCAGTCCGTCAGCCCCGGCGGCGGCGCGTGGCTCGGCGGCCAGCTCTTCTCCGCCATGGTGGTCCGCAAGCCGGCGCACCTCTTCCTCGAAGAGATCGGGGTGGAGTACGACGACGGCGGGGACGGGTACGTGGTGGTCAAGCACGCGGCTCTGTTCACCTCCCGGATCATGAGCCTCGTGCTGTCCCGGCCGAACGTGAAGCTGTTCAACGCGGTGGCGGCGGAGGATCTGATCGTGAAGGGGGGGAGGGTGGCCGGGGTGGTGACGAATTGGGCGCTGGTGGCGATGAACCACCACACGCAGTCGTGTATGGATCCGAATGTGATGGAGGCGAAGGTGGTGGTGAGCTCGTGCGGCCACGACGGCCCGTTTGGGGCGACGGGGGTGAAGCGGTTGAGGAGCATAGGGATGATCGACAGGGTGCCGGGAATGAAGGCGCTGGACATGAACACGGCGGAGGATGAGATTGTGAGACTCACTCGAGAGGTTGTGCCGGGCATGATTGTCACCGGGATGGAAGTTGCCGAGATTTATGGTTCCCCAAGAATGGTAAAATGATTACTCCCTTTTAACTTATTTTTCCTACTTATTGTTTATTCTTATTATATTCAGTTATTTATTCTTATTATATTCAGGTAAAACTAGATCAAATAAGAATTTTTTTAAATTATAAATGTAATCAGATCAGTCCAAATCATAGGATTAGAACAGTCTAACTATTCTATTTGATTTTCAAATTACTCATTATGTTTGATTCAAGGAATTTGAAAGAGAAGAAGAAATTAAGATGAAGAATAATTTTTTTGTTTGGTTAGAGATGATAATAAAAGAAAAGTGGATGAAAAAGAAATCGAAGAGGTAAGAGCATCTCCAATCATAATTACTATATTGGCTTGTTAATTTTATATTTTAGCAAGTGAATAGTGATATAACAAGCAATTTTTTGTTTCATTTTCCAACCATAAGTTGCTAATCCATTTTTCAACTCTTAGCTTGTTATATTTTGGAAAACTTGTTATATTTAGCAAGTCAATCTCATTTTTTAGCAAGCTTGCTATAATATAACACAACCATTGAAGATGAGAAAAAATGATTGGCTTGCTATATCATAACTTTTAACAAGCCAAAATGAAATGATTGGAAATGCTCTAAGAATCCTAAGATGTAGTATTAAGAAGAGAGAAGACTAAATTCTTTCTATTTTGGTGAAAAAAAATGAGAAAAACTCATGTTTTTTCTTTTCCTTTGCATCATTTTTTGCCTTTTGCAAAAGTCTACTCCATCCCTTTGCTATTGTTTTTTGCCACATATTTTTATTTTTGTTAAAATTTGCGACAAGTCATAGTAGATGCTTTTTTTGGACGAAAGGAGTTGTAGTAAAAAATACTCTTTTTTTAATTTATTATTTTCTCTGGCCATTAATTTCTATCTCACTTTCTTTTTTGAAATGTCCTAAAATTATCTTCTCGTTTTTATTTTGACAAAAAAACCTTTAATGAACTACCATTATACTCTTATTTTTCCTCTAGACTATTTAATTTATCCCAATGGTGGATGATTAATTGTAATTGGTGTTAATATAATGTAAATGAGTACAGGGACCAACGTTTGGGGCGATGATGATATCAGGGAAGAAGGCGGCGCATTTGGCGTTGAAGGCTTTGGGGAGGAAAAATGCCATTGATGATGGAACTTCATTATCATGCACCACCGATGATGATAATCAGCTTGGAAGGCCGCAAGAAGAAGAAAAACATTTTCAGCCCAAACTTGTTTTGGCTTCTGCTTAGTTCTGATCAGGAAATTGTTTTGTTCCTGGCTAGCCAAAAATTGTTGAATAAGACTCTTCAATAAGTTAGTAGGAGTACTTACTACTCTCTCCGTCCAAAAAAGTCTTTCCTGTTTACTATTACGGCCTCTCGATAACTCTTACTTATAGAGTTTTCGATGTAGTTTTTAAATATAATTTTTAAATATGTTATTTCCTTACCAATTTATAAATAAAATAATTTTAAAATTTATGAAATTTTGCACGTTAATCAAAGTAGGAAATTTTTTTAAGACAGGAGGAGTAGTAGGCAATTGGCATGTTGCTCTCTCTCGCAAAATGATCGCTCCCACTTTCAAAGAGTTTCAAAAAAATGTTTGAAAACAGAAAAAGGTGTTTAAAATTTGAAATGGTTAAAAAGGTTTTCTTAGCTATCCTAATTCGTTTAGGACATAAGGGAAGAGAAGATTTTTATGAGAAATGAGTATTAGTATTATAATTTCAATTGTTTCGTTGTCTTATTTTTTGAGAAAAATAACAGCTTTTAAGCAGGATGATAGTGACAAAAAAGTAAAACGGGATGTTATATCGATTGAAAAACTTATAATTTGGGTAGAAAATACAAGAAAAAAAAGAATTAGCTTAAATTTGGTGATATGAGGTTGCATTGGTTTGATGTAAGTAAAAAAAATGTTAAAATAAATGATGCTCCGAATTTTTACATATAGAATTATAGATTATAGGTCAATAAAAAAGAAATTTAGTGGAAAGTTAAAATAAATGATGCTCCGTAATTTTGATAATAGCTAATTATTGAATGCTCTAGCCTCAATGTTTGGTTAAAAACAACGATTCACAGAGGTTAGCAAACAGCGCCTGTGGCCTAATGGATAAGGCGTCTGACTTCTAATCAGACGATTGTGGGTTCGAGTCCCACCAGGCGTGCTCCATTTGTTTTTAATTTTCTTTTCCAGTGCCTGCCTCCCGTGGCCTTTACACAATCATTTTCTGTTTTCTTTCTTTTTTTGGTTTTTAGAAAAATACGAGTGACCCAGAATTGATTCCAGAGAGAAAATAGGGGCGAAGATGAGTGCGGAGGAGACGCTGGTGGAGGCGGCGCTGCGGGTTCTGAACACGCCTGACCCGGCGGAGAAGGCCCGGATCGGAGATGAAGTCGCCAACAGGTGGTCCCAAGGCCTCATTTCTCGGTCATATGACTCTACTCTGGACCTCCCTGTACCTCACCGCCCCGCCAGGCTCGCTGACGTAACTCCCTCTCCTTTCTCCTTCTCCTTTTGTCTCTCAACTGTTCGACGAATTGCCCTACACTGACTGAATTGTGAAAGTTCTTTTATTTGTTCCCACTTTCCACTATAATTTCTCATTCATCCCTTTACCATTTTTAGAGCATAATATAATACGTCAAAACATTCACTCAGGTAGTAGAACACATTTCCGTATAGTAAGGGCTCAAACCTTTATTGGTTCACATTGATGTTTATGGCCGAAAACGACCCCTCGTAAGCTCGATTGGACTTATTTTCCCAACAATTTGTGTGCTTATCATGATGCATATAGGTGAAGCTGGTTTCGCCGAGTCTGATGCCAAAGCTGGGAAAAGCTGGAAACTTGCAGAGCAGACAAGCCATTGTACACAGTCTTGTTCACATTGAAAGCTGGGCTATTGACTTGTCTTGGGTATATCTTCTTCTTCTTCTTAGAAAATTACATTAACATCATACATATGTACTTTGTATGTACTGCCAATGACATTTTTGTAATCAGTTTAATGATTGCTCATTTGTCGTCGCGAGAAATGTCCGCTTGCTTTTGTCTTTTTGTGTTTATGTTTTCTTTCTTATGTTGATCATTTTTTGCTTTTTAAAGAATGCTCTTTTGAGTACGACATTTGCCCATTTTTTTTGTTATGAAAAAATGTTTCTTTGCATATGCTAGATTATGTACCATTATTCTGGTGCATGTCGCTGTACGTTATTTGTGCTGCTTGTATTATGTGTAAGTGTAACCTTTTGGCTAAGCCAGACACATGCGCCTTCATTGGCTTTGTATGTGTCTGCCCTCATATCTTTCAGTCCAAGTTTATTTGGTACACACAATTCATATGTTTGTTCTATTGCTTGTTTTGTGATACATGTATTGTTTTCTAGGACATAATTGCTCGTTTTGGAAAGCAAGAGTCAATGCCGAGGGAATTTTTCACAGATTTTGTTAAAGTGGCACAAGATGAAGGCAGGCATTTTTCGATGCTTGCTGCACGGCTAAAGGAGTTAGGCTCTTTTTACGGTGTGTTTCCTGCCCATGATGGCCTCTGGGATTCAGCCATGGCTACTTCCAATGATTTGCTGGCAAGATTGGCAATTGAGCATTGTGTTCATGAGGTTTCAGTCTTAACTGCTCATGCCTTAACAAGTGCTATTTTCCCTAAACATTAAAAGATTGAGTTAATTTCTTCGCTTAACCAACAATATTTCACTTTCCTTAGAAAGTGGCAAGTTTTCCATCAAAATTGGGGAATCCACTCCCAGGAATCAACCAAACACTTGGTTTTGTTTGGAACCTAGAGATGTCTATGGAAATAAAATACACGTAGTTGGGAAATTTGAAAAGAAAGAAAATTGAGGAAAAATTAAAAATATATGTAGTGTGTAAGTTAGATATTTGTACCATTTTTGCTTTTACATTTCTATTATATATCAACTACACAATGTAAATAAATGTAAAAGTTTACAAGTTTCCTTTGTGTTATTAGAAGTAAAGCCAAACATAAGAAAAAACATTTTCTTTAGCATTTTTTCCCTTTCCCTTTCCATTTCAGTTTTACAAGCATATCATTAACTGAGAATGATAAACTGATTTGTAAGTGATTCTGGAGTTAGGTGTGTTCAATGCATTAATTGAGACTGATAAACTGATATGCTTGACTGTGTTTATAGTATCTTATTTTCATCTTTTTTGTAATCTAAGTACACATATTGTCCAATGATATGGACTTAAAGGCTAGGGGACTGGATGTGATGCCAACAACAATCTCACGTTTTCGCAATGGAGGTGATAATGAGACGGCCGACTTGTTGGAGACTGTGGTCTACCCAGAAGAGATAACCCACTGTGCTGCTGGGGTGAAATGGTTCAAATTCCTTTGCCTGAGGTCAAGAAATCCGGATTCGGGCAGCACGACTGAGGTTGATGGGGAAGTTGTCCGAAAATTTCATGCCACTGTGAAGGCACACTTCAGAGGGCCACTAAAGCCCCCTTTCAATGTGGCTGCTAGACTAGCAGCTGGGTTTGGCCCCCAATGGTACGAACCTCTTGCACTGAAACATGACTCGTCTGTATAGTTGTGATTCGAACTCCCATTACATTAGTTGTCTTCTTGTTCTTGTACGTTCGTAAGAACTTTAAAAAAAATCCACACGCCCACCATCCGACTCCGTTTGTGGGATTTTACTCTGGGTTCTTGTTGTTATTGTAACACATCAATTTCGTTTTCTGGAAAACAAATGTTGAATTTGGAATTTTATTCCAAAACAAAAGTGTGAGTCTTCAAGATTGAATGAAAATCAAGTTGTCATTCTATAAGCTCATTTAATGTTTCCTATGCGCATAGTGACATGCAGGAGAAGCATGAGAGCAGTTTGAGATTGTTCATTCATATATAAGCTGGGTATTGTTAGTGTTCAACAGGTACTCATGTCTCACAAACAAGATTTTATAGATAACACAGGTGGGGCAAATGTGAGAGTAAATGCTAGGACCTGTTTGACAAATAACTGATGATGTATCATACAATAATTTGTGTTAGCAGATTTAAATAGCAATTAGCATTAAACAAAAAGATACTTTGCTCGCTCATTGAATAAACTTTACACCCTTTTTTTTCTTTCGCCCAAAATACAATCTACACATCACATATTTTTTCTTAGATATATATAATACGTGACCAACGACATTTTTATGTCTTTTAAACAAATTTGGGCACAGTTCGGTTGACATTGGCTATCAATGTCTCCAATTGGGGGCCATATAGTGTCTTATACGTAAAATTGATAGTTCCTATCACTCATAACCCACCCTCTAAATGCCTCACTCCGGCTCGACCCAAATTGAATCCCCACCTCCTTCGAGGGTTGGTGTCAAAATGAACCCAAGTTAACTAAAATTGGGGTTGCAATTGGAGGGGATGGGAGGATGGTCGGTTTGATTCGGTTCGGAGTGGGGGTACACGGGTGAGCTAGAGTGGTAAGAGTTGTGAACTTCTTGAACGGGGTACCGTAAGGATCCTAATTGGAGCTAATGTCATAGGATGACATGAGATTTCATTGTCAAGGGACCCTTCGAACAAAAATTAAGTATTCACCTTTTAATTTTTTAACATTTAAATTAAACTGAAATCAAAGTATGAATTGCAAGTATGAAAAACTAGTCGTATAGTGAGCGGGAACATATTCGGAGTACTAAAATTATACCAGAGTAATGTAAAAAAGAGTGCTAAATTCATTTATCATTTTGCTATACCTATTTCATTTGTTAAAAAGTGACAATTACCCAAAGTGTAAAAACAAAGAAAAACGTGTGTAGTATAAAGAATAAAATTAGACATTTACCACAAATGGGGTTGATATAGGAAATAGAGGGTTGGATTTAGCAACTAATTATAAAAAATACACTAAAAATTACTACGCAGTATTTGTTTTATATTCCCTCCGTCCGGAAATATTCTTCTCATTTGATTTTTTACGGTCTCTAAGATTGTATTTTGACCACTAATATTTTATTTATATGTGGATATATTTTATAAAAATTTGATATTTGAAAACTATATTTCAAAATGAATATATTCATATTAAAGTTATATCGTAATACAATATGAAGTATATTTTTTTTACATATCATAATCAAAATTTACAAAATTTGATCAACAAAAGTCAAAAGAAAAGAATATTTCCGTAGGGAGGGAGTACAAGTTTAATCTAGCAAGTTATCTTAATCACAAATTTGACCAACTGCCCCTTGTGCATTTCCCGGCATAACCCGGCCCTTCTACTCTTTCGAATCGCCTTCATCAAGCTCCCAATTCACAGTCATAATTTAGTTACTGCGGGTCAGGTAATCGATTGAAATTTTCCCTAAATTTCAGGTTTTTGCATTGCGTGATTCCCATCTTCCCGTCGATTTTCTTCTCCGATTGCCGTAATGGCGGAACTATTTGCCAATTTCGTTTTTCTTGGGCCGGCAGTATGCGATTTTGAAGTCTGGATTAGATGATTATATTTGCTAGAGTTTGAACGATACAAAAATTTAATAAGATCTGCCTGTGGTTCGAATTTGTTTGTGCTGATCGTCAGTTGCTGGTGGGAAAATGAAGAAATCTCAATTGCCACTACAAAATGTATGTGGACCTGAGAAGCAGGTAGTTAAGAAGGAAGCTTTGGTGAAGCTTTTGAGATGGCATTTCGGGCATCCCAACTTCCAAGGGAAGCAATTGGAAGCTATAGAAGCTGTTTTATCAGGTAGTATTTCCATAATTCCATGTACAAGGATGTTGATAATTAATTCATTCAGATTGATTTTTTTCACTTAAAATGGACTAATATTTATTATTAATGAAATTAAAATTGCATTGCATATTAAAACAATGAAATAATTCTTTGAAAGTTTTTTGCAAGATAAACTTAATGAAATCATTTTTATATTAATATTCAGTACCATTTTTATCTAATTGATGATTTAAGTTCGTGTCATTTGAATCAAAGTAGACGAATGCATTGGGAAGAAGGTAGTATTTGATTTCACGTAGCCAAGGATGTGGATATTATGGTGTGTTAGCTTGCTAATTGGCGAGGTTTACTTGCAATCACCTCTGTCTTCTTGTTTTTACATATCCAAAAAAGTGGCCAACCAAATGACCCTTACCAAATGGGTCCAAAAAGCAAAACAAATTTGCATGTTTCTGTGTGTGCTTTCTATCCTCATCTTCCTTTTGTTCACTGTTTATGGCATGTCTTTGCAGGAAGGGATTGCTTTTGCCTAATGCCCACTGGTGGGGGAAAATCGATGTGTTACCAGATTCCCGCTCTTGCAAAACCCGGGATTGTACTTGTCGTCAGCCCTTTAATAGGTGATTTTTTTTACCCCTTTTTTTTTATTTCACATCATGAAGGAATCACAAACTACATGTTTTTGTGTTCACTTGCAAATGATTGGGAAATGCCTGGCTTAATTTCGTCTATCATTTGTTTCAGCTCTCATGGTGAGTTCCCAGGGAATATACTCCCTTTTTTATCTGCTGTTTGTTTGTTTGTTTTCTTGTGGTCCTATGCACTTCCGATTTCTATTATATTAACCCAGGAGAATCAAGTCTCTACACTGAAAAGTAAAGGTATTCCAGCCGAGTTTCTCTCATCAAGCCAGCCTTCACAAGTAAGAAATAAGGTAAATACTTACTGTAATACATCATTTACTCTGTGCCTCATAAGTAAACCAGCGTAAAGTTTGTATTGAAACTTTAGCAACAAATTCTGTCCGGCGCAATTTTTAGTCATTAGTGATATGTTGTAGAGCACAGCGGACATATTTGATATTTAGTAAGCTCTGAAGTAGCAGATAATGTACTATGTATGCATAATATGTACTGACAAAGAGTGAATTTTGTATTAATGCATTGGAGAGAACTTTGGTAAGCTAGAGTGGCTTTTTATAGATGCACAAAATGAACCCTTTTTTTCTCTCAAGTGGGGTTGTTTTGTGAAGTTTTGTAAATAATTAGTTTTTTTTCTTTTTTTGGGGTGCTCTATTGTCATTTTGTCGGGTCTTTTTGGTTGGCATTGCTACAATAACTTTCCCCACTTAGGGTAGTCCAGCAATCAATAAACATAAGTGTTATTTTCATGTTGGTGAGTACTTTTGAGTTTTGAAAACACCAAATGGTGAGAATAAATCTAATATTTACTCTTCTTCACATCTCAACTCAGGGAAAATTAAAATTTGAAGGCTGTTTTTTTCTTTAAATGTTAGATATATGAGGACCTCGAATCTGTGAAGCCGTCTCTGAGGTTATTGTATGTTACACCAGAATTAATTGATACAGCTGGATTCAAGTCGAGAGTAACGAAGATCCACTCAAGAGGGTTACTAAACCTTATAGCTATTGATGAGGTTTTGAAACACCATATTATCTTCCATAACTAAATTAACTTGAGTATAAAACACTCTCTGTTTGAGTTTTCTATTATTTTTATCTCAAAAGTAGAATTAATCAAGCATTTTTTCTGTTTCATGAACAAATCAGGCCCATTGCATCTCTTCATGGGGGCATGACTTTAGGTAACTTTCTAATCTTTTCTCCCCTTTCTAATATTCAGGTGAGCATCCTTTTGTTATGCTTTTGACCTAAACCCTTTTATATAGTCTTTGGCCTAACAGTTAGTGGATTCATATATTTTAGACTCATGCATTTCATATCTGCTTTATTTTCCTACATTCTTTTGATCAGTTATATTTGATTGTGATTTGTTATATGGCTCTTGCTTACTCTATTAATCATAGCTTTGCACATAAATTAGGCCTAGTTACCGGAAGCTTTCTTCCTTGAGAAGCCACCTACCGAACATACCAGTATTGGCATTGACAGCAACGGCTGCTCCAAAGTGAGCTTCTCTTGTTTTCTTAACTAATTTAGAAGTTGGAATTCCCAATCCTGTATTGGCGTATACTTTTTAATATTCTACACAATCTTCTATTATTCCACATTCTTTTACTCGGAAGTCAGAATTTTTTTACATAAGGTGTAAGAAAGCGTGTTCTTTGTGGTCCTGTGGAAATCTCAAGTAAATTGAGAGCTCTATAGTATATTACTTATTAGATCTGAAATTTCTATAGACTTGCATATACCCCGTAATTTGTTTATATATCAAATCATCAAGAAAGACATCGTTGAGAAGGTTAACAAGAAATTTCATCTTATTTGGATGAAAGGAAATTCTTCTAACACATGATCCCAGTTAATTATTGCAACTTATGTGACAAGAACTGTCTGATTATTGCTATCCACATTTTGGGATTTTTTCTGCAGAGTTCAGAATGATATCATTGGATCGTTGTCATTACAGAGCCCTGTAGTCCTCAAATCATCTTTCAACCGCCCAAATATCTATTATGAGGGTCAGATCTAATCACTTAAGCAGCTTGAACACTTCTTTTTATTTTATTTGTGCCTCTCGGATGTGAATCTACATTATGATGCCTAGGTGCATGTAGATATTCTATCCTTCTTGATATCATGATGCATAAGCCCTTGCAGTTGGGACGACCAGGAAAGATATTTTATCCAATATGTATGTGTTAAAGGTGGGGTACAGTGTATGCCAATGTGTCTGTAGCCTGTAAGGTTTTGTAGTAAAATAAGTGCACTGATGTGTGTTTCATTAATTTTATTAATGCCATATAAATTTCTTCATGGCTGACGAAGTATCATCACGATGCAGTTCGATATAAAGATCTTCTGGATGATCCATATGCTGATGTATGTAACCTGCTGAAATCTTATGGAAATGTTTGTGCAATTGTTTACTGCCTCGAACGTACAGCTTGTGATGACCTTGCTTCCCATCTGACAGCATATGGCATTTCCTGTGCTGGTGATGCAATATTTTATTTGATATATTCATTGATGGTTTGTTTCATGATGCATTTCCTCTTAAATGTTACTTTTGAATTTTCAGCATATCATGCTGGATTAAATAGTAAAATGAGAAGCTCTGTCTTGGATGCTTGGATTTCCTCCAAAACACAAGTAGTTGTGGCAACAGTGGCCTTTGGGTATGGCTTCCTAACTTTCTTCATAAAACAAATCTCTCTTTTTTTTGGGAATTATAATTTACAAAAAGACTGGTAAACTTAAGCTTGCTGACAGCCAAATTATGACAAACATTTGCATTTGTCCTAATAATTTTTGCTGTGCAATTCTTGTGTTTTTATCTTAAAATTTGTGTGTATATTGGAGTCGCTTTGAAGCGTGCATTGTTTCTGATTTTGCTGCAGGATGGTATGCATCGAGCACTTCACAATGTTTGGGACTTTGGGTTGATTTTGTCAAGCTTCAATGTGATTTAACTGCACATAAACATGTTTTATTTTGAAAAATTAAAAATAGGGCATAGATCGAAAAGATGTCAGAGTTGTCTTCCACTTCAATGTCCCAAAGTCAATGGAAGCTTTCTATCAGGAGTCGGGTAGAGCGGGTCGTGATCAATTGCCTTCAAGAAGTGTTGTTTATTACGGAATGGACGATCGTCGGAAAATGGTTGAACTTCCTTCTGTTACTAATTGCTCCATTGATTCTGAATGTTATTGCGTCATTTTAGTAAACATCTCCATTTATATAACAGGAATTTATTTTAAGAAGTAGTGAAAGGAAGAAAGAGTCTTCAAGTTTACAAGATGGATCCTCAAAGAAGGCCCTTGATAACTTCAGCCAGGTTATTCTTAAACTCCCTGATTGACTTCAACACTCAGATTCATCCTTTTTAAATGGTTTCTGCAATCAGATAGTGAAGTATTGTGAAGAATCTGGATGTCGCCGAAAAAAGATCCTTGAGAGCTTCGGGGAGATGGTATACCTGGGTTATTTATAGTACTGTCTAGTTGTGTCTTCGTAGGGTCTGTTTGGATGGAGGGTTTTGGAGGGGCTTGAACTTTGATGGGCTAAATATGAAGTACAGAGTACATGTTTTTAGAAACAGAATGTTTTTGAAAACTAATAAAAGGTGATTGAAATTTTATATGATCACATAATATGAATCTTTCAATTTTTATGAATTTTTAAATATATACTCCCAAAATAAACTTCATGGTTTGACTTCACAAAGTTGAAGAAAAGGGTTGAGAAGTGAAGTGTATTGTCTGAATTTGTTTTGAAGAAAGAGAAATGATGTGAGCTACACATTCCTTTTCTTAAAAGGAAATAAGCAAAGTGTAAATTTTATTTTGGGAATGAAGGAAAAAAGTGAAGTTTATTTTGGGACGGAAGGAGTATATAGAGAAATCACAATATAAATTAAGCCCTCCAAATCCTTTGATTCCAAACCCCTCAAAAACTCTTTATTTCAAACAGACCCTGTAGTTTTGTTTTATAGTAATTTAGTTGCATTTATTGACTTGGCAACTAGGTATCTGCATCTTTATGTGGAAAATCATGTGATGCTTGCAAACGTCCTAATGTAGTTGCTAAAAACTTGGAAGAGCTCAAAGCTGCTGCCACCTTTCGCCAACGAACTGGATCTTCAGGGATATTTATTACCAGGTAGCTTTTTTTGCAGAATTATCAGAGGACCTTTAGCCCTATTTTGGATTGATTTGGTGGTTGGATTTGAATTACTGGGAATTGGATACTAGGAATTGATTTTACTGGAAATTAAAGATAGAATCACGTTTGGAATGACTGAGATGGACATCACTCAAACTTCATGTTATGTTGGACTTCCCCCATTTTATGATTATATGAGCATGTTTGGATCTCGGAAAATGTAAATGAAACAGGCAAATATGATAATTAAGATGTTCTCTTAAGTTAAGTTTTACCTTAGAAAGTGCAAATTGATCTAGAATATGAAATATTCTTTTTAAAATTTTGCATATGTTTAGATTTCTCGCTCTTTATATAACAAAAATAAATGAAATGAGTTCAACCATCTAAAATAAATTTATTGTGTCTAAGCCTATCTTCTATTTTCATCCAAATCTTCTTTCTTTGCTTTTCCTAGTACATTACGGTTTCCTTGGTTTCTTGAATCGCAGATTCCTTGGTTTCTAGTACATCCAAACCGCTGATTCCTTGGTTTCTTGAATCCACAAATGGACAACACACCCCACCCTTGGGAATCACATGCCAACCCCAACAAGGCCTTAGTGTCAACTTCTTTAGGGTTACTTGGCATGGATGAGTGTCTCAGTGAATGAATTATTTTGATTTTGATAATGTGTTAATGTTTTGTAGCTCATCAAACCTCAATGATGGAGACTACTCTGAATTCTGGAATCGTGAGGATGATGCAAGCGGGCCAGAAGAAGATATATCTGATTCAGACGGTACAATTGATGAAAAAAGAAAAAAAAACATTTCATCTGCGAATGCATTATTGATATGAAACATCCATATAGCCTGAAACGTTTAAACCCTTGATGCTGCAAATTCAGAAGCTCTTGATGCTGCAAAGAATGTAGCTTCTTCGCGGGTATCAACAAAGCTAAGAATCCAAGACAAAATTGAATTGCTGCAGCGAGCAGAAGAGAATTATTATCAGAACAACAATCCTGAGAAGCAGGTAATTGTTTGTCTAATTCGCCATTACTACAGGCGATCTCCTGTCCCAAAAAAAACATGTTTGATGCACCACTTGTTAATGTTGATAAGTTATACTCTATAAAATGTTGATAAGTTATACTCTATAAGTGTGACAGATAATCAATCCTACATATATAGACTAGGGAGTACTTTTGTAACAGTTGTTTGACAAATTACATGATAAAAAACTTTATTTGATCTTTTTTGGGGACAAAAAAGTTTGAAAGAGGGTATTACTTTTTGGCACGTTTAAGCGTAATGTGGGTTGACCCTGTGACATTCTACATCTTAGAGAATTAGAATATAGGTTCATGGTTGCGCACAGATTTTTCATCTCTTTACTCTATCCCTTGTAGGTAAATAAACATGACAAAAATGCAGTATCCGAAACATTAAGAGAGACGGGCAAACAAAGATTGTTAGGCGCTTTAAAACAAAACGGAGAGCGGTTCTCTGATATAAGGTAATG